AGCTTCATTGTATAATATACACTCAAATATGTAAAATGTTATTCAGTTTCAGTTTATATACACTGCAGTTTCATTTCATTATAACTACAGTATCATTTTGATATAACTGCAGTGTCGGTTTGGATATACTGTAGTGTCAGTTGGTGTTTAATACACCAAACAAACGGACTCCGTTAACTCTAACGGCGGGCCGTTTCTTTACTTAAAGAAACGGCGCCGTATATGGGCTGCGGTGCGTAATCGATTATGCACCGCGGTCTATAATATAACAACCGCCTTGTAGAGCTGTTAGGTTCAATAAAAATGGGCTGGGCAATTTAAAATATTAATACAATGCCCAACAAATTTGAGGGTGGGTCGGGATGCAGGTGGGGGTGAGGATTAGGGTTATACGGATTGGCCAGTGGTAATCCACAGGCCAATTCAACCTGTATCTCCACACGGGTTATACGAATCGAGTTGAAAATAGGGGTCATTAAAAATTCTCTAATCCATCCTGTCTAAAATACGGGTTAAACAGGTCTAATCCATTGAATTGGGCCTTTATTGACAACTCTGGTTCTTTGTGGACATCGGAACCTTGTCTTCCACTTTGTGGGCAAAAAAAAAAACATTAGAATAATCTAAATGTGGTTGCAAAATCGTCGCAAATGGAGATGGTACGATATAACTTACCAAGAAATAAATTGCGGATGCGATGATGAAGGTCCAAAATCGTCCCAAAAAAGCGTCAGCAACATAGGCACCCAAAATTGGGGTGAGGAAAACAGTGCCAACCCAATTCGTCACATTGTTGGACGACTCAACTGTGCCCTGGTGGAGCACCGTCGTCATGTATAAAACTAGGTTCGATGAGATCCCCCAGTAGCACATACGTTCAAACACTTCATACACTGCACAAAAAATCACAATATATATAACATTTTATGAACCCACATTAACCCTATAAACTCTAAATTCGAGATTAGACTCCCTATCCAGAGTCACAAATTACCTCTTCAAACAACATTTGGACAGAGATTCTGAAGGCTTAAGAATAATCTAAAGTAAATTTAAAAAATCTAATGTATCAAAAAAAATAATAATAATGAAGAGAAGAATCCGAAGTATCGTACCAACGATGAAAGAACAAGCCTTCCAGCCACCAGTCTTGGATCTGAGGACTGGTTTACCTTTGAGACTGACAGTCCCATCTTGTGTGTATCCATCATCATAAAATCCTTTTTCTTCCGCTCCTGCCATGATCAATAGGAGAACAGCTGCCTCTGTTTACTGCAATTGCTATATGTTTTTCTAGACTAGATACTATATATCCCCATATTAGTCTCTATATTCTTCCCATATTAGAAAGAATATTATATTAGTCTCTATATTAATTATTCCCATGATTTCCTACCAATATATATGCTTGTAACCAGACAGGTTTTGTTCTTATGTTAATTTTGGATATATTTCAATTAATCCAATCAAATTAAGCGATATTATTCTTTTATGGATTGAAATACGTTCATCATACTAACTGCTCTTAAATGCGCACATTATTACTATACATGGGTTTTAATTTGTATGTCTCTATAAAAAAAAAAAATTAATAATAAAGAAAAGAAGTAAAGGAGAAAGAATTGGTTTTTTTAAAAAATGAATAATAAACATAATATGCTAGTAAATAAAATGAGATAAAAGGAGTATATTTTTTAAGGTAAAAAATATTTTTGGTCTTGCATGTAAAATGAGATAAAAAGAATATGTTTTTTTAAGGTAAAATATATTTTTGGCCTGACATGTAAAATGAGATAAAAATAGTATGTTTTTTTAAGGTAAAATATATTTTTGGCCTCCCATGTAAAATGAGATAAAAAAAAAAAAAGTATTCTTTTTAAGGTAAAATATATTTTTGGTCTTCTATCTAAAATGAGAAAAGAGTATATTTTTTAAGGTAAAATATATTTTTGGTCTTGCACGTAAAATGAGATAAAAAGAGTATTTTTTTTTTTAAGGTAAAATATATTTTTGGCCTCACAATTATTCATGGTTAATTATCTTACCTAGATCTTGTAATGTTAGAAGTTGCAAAATATACCTTTACATTTTCAAGATTGTGGTGGTTCTGGTAAAAACATAAGCCAACATTAAAAGACAATTTTTTTTTGCAGCCACATTAAAAGACATATTAAGATGTAATTTTGGTAATCAGGAAAGTTTACATTTCACTTACTGCACGTTTGGTTCACGGAATGAATTTTGAGGTAATAGGAATGCTATTCCATAAGGAATAGAATAGGCAAGGAATAGAATAGGAATTGTATTCTATTGTTTGGTTCGCGGAAGGAATAGACTTTATGAATTATATTACAGTGTTTGGTTGATTTAAGGAATAGAAATGAAATATGTTTTAAAAGACATAAATACCCTTATAAAAATATGTGATGGTGGTGGCGGTGGTGGTGGTGGTGGCGGTGGCAGTGGTGGGGGCGACGGTGGTGGTGGTGACGGTGACGGTTGACAATGACGGTTGTGGCAGTGGTGGTGGGGGCGGCGACGGTTGTGGCGGTGGTGGTGGTGGCAGTGGCGGTGCTGGGTGGTGGTTCTGGTGGCGGTGGTGGTGGTGGCGGCAGCGACAATGGTGGTGGTGATGGTGATGGTGGTGGCGGCGGTGGCAGTGGTGGTTATGGTGGCGGCGGTGGTGGTGGCGACGACGGCAATGGTGGTGGCGGTGGTGGGGGCGACGGTGGTGGTAGTGGCGGTGGCGGTGGTGGTAGTGGTGGTGCTGGGGTGGTAGTGGTGGTGGTGGCGGTGGCAGTGGTGGGGGCGACGGTGGTGGTGGTGGCGGCAGCGGCGATGGTGGTGGTGGCGGCAGCGGCGATGGTGGTGGTGGCGGTGGTAGTGGTGGTGGTGGCGGTGGCAGTGGTGGGGGCGGCGATGGTGGTGTTGGTGGTGGCGGCGACGACGGTGGTGAAATAGGATAAATTTATATATAGGATAATAAAATTAGGTTAAAGAAAAGGGTAAAAAAGGAAATAGATTCTAAAATCTATTCCTGAGCGTTCAGTAATAGGCTAATACCAGGGGGGCCCTAGTAATAGCTATTACCTTATTTAAGGTAATAGGCTATTACCAGGAATAATATTCCTGATAATAGAAATGGTTACCAAACAACGGAATAGGCCTATTACTGGGAATGCTATGCCATTCCCGGCCTATTCCGTAAACCAAACGGGCCATTAAGGAATGATTTCATAGCAATCAATGTCATGTTTTAAGAGCACGATATTGGACTTGGTACTTAGCTTTAAGTCACTGCCCAACAATTCCATTGAAAGCATGTTGAACAATTGAAGCTGGCAGATGGTCGCAGGGGATTGTTAGATGGAGGCTTGAAGGGCAGAGTCCATCATCCTATCATTGAAATATGACATTGATTAATACGCAAACATAAGAAAATTAATAAAGTTACCCGTTATAGTATTTGGCGTAGTGATTAGCATTTGAGTTTCATGATTTGTATTAGAGCAAGTCACGTGTTCAAAGGACGATTGTTGACAGAACACGATGAGTGTTTGGGAATAATTGATAATTGTATTCACAATCAATAATATCGAATAGAATTAATTTCACTTTTGGTCCCACGACTTTTGAGTTGTTATCATTTTTGGTGCACAACTTTAAATTTTTTTAATTTTGGTGCCTAACTTTGTTATTTTTATCAGTTTTGGTCCTTCCAGGCAAATTGACGGTAAAATATTTCCGAATTTTATATTATAGGGGCAAAATCGTCATCCCATGAAAAGATCTTCAATATTTAAACAAAAGAAAAATCATATTAAGAGGAAAAAAAAAGAGTTTGCCAATGGTTGAAACTATAAATCCCATAGATCTGTCTGATTTCTACCCGTCTTTCCCATTATTCTCATCATCAAACACCTATAGATATAATTTTACAGTGATTTTGTTTAGATATTGAAGATGTTTCCTTGAGATGCCGATTTTACCCCTAACAATATAAAATACAGCAACATTTCGCTGTCAATTTGGCCGAAAGGACCAAAACTGATAAAAATAACAAAGTTAGGCACCAAAATTAAAAATTTTTAAAGTTGTGCACTAAAAGTGATAGAACATCAAAAGTCGTGGGACCAAAAGTGAAATTAATTCATATGGAATATACAACATAAGAGTAATATACAGAAGACAAGTCTAAGAGATAGAACCACACTAGGACACAACTTATAAGAGTCCTATCACACGCCCTCAAGTTTAAGGTGGAGTAGATACAACATTAAGCTTGGAACGTAAGAGGTCAATACGCGCAACAGATAACGGCTTGGTGAAGATATCAACCATTTGTTCTTTAGTGGAAACAAAATGAACTAGCAAATCACCCGAAGAACTTTATCACGGACAAAGTGATAATCCACCTCAACATGTTTCAATTTGGTATGGAAAACCGGGTTAGCACAAAGATAAATAGCACCGAGGTTGTCACACCATAATGAGGGCGGTTCAACAGGAGCTAACCCGAGTTCCCGAAGCAAAGACACAACCCAAGTAACTTCTACATCAACATTAGTCAATCCTTTATACTCTGCCTTAGTCGAAGATCGTGCCACCGTTCACTGTTTGCGACAAACCCACGAGACCAAATTGCTTCCAAGAAACACAGCAAACCTACTCGTTGACTTACGATCCACAGTATTGCCAGCCCAGCCCGAATGTGAATAAGCATGCAAAGCAGATGACTTTAAGCATTAACCGCAGACCAAATTGAAATGTGCCTTTAACGTAATGCAACACGTGCTTCAACATAACCCAGTGCGCCATTATTGGAGAGTGCATATGCTGACACAGTTGGTTCACAGCAAACGTGAGATTCGACCTTGTAACAGTCAAATATTGCAGCGCACATACCAAACTCCTGTATTGGGTCGGATTGTCATAAGGATCATCAGACTGCATAGCTGGACGCGCCACTGAGACAGGCGTGACAAGAGGTTTGCAATCCGTCATGACTGCACACTTAGAATATCAATCATGTACCTGCATTGAGACAAAAGAAGACCACCATCAAATGGAACTGTCTCAATCCCGAGGAAAAATCTATGTGACCCCAGAACACGAATCTTAAAGGTCGAAGTAAGACGCCGCAACAAATTAGAAACCAACTTAGGATCACTCCCCATGAGCAGAATATCATCTATGTATATTAGTAGAAACACTTGTGACCAATTAGCAGAATAATAGAACAACGACACATCAATTTTGGAGGCCATGAACCCCACAGACAGAATTGAAGGAAATCATGCAAATGCTTAACTAGGCCCGGGGAGCCTAGTTCAAATCATACAGAAACAGCTGTAGAAGGCATACGTGATCTGGGTAGCTAGGATATGTATAACCCGGTGGCTGCTTCATGTAAATCGTCTCAGCCAAGTGCCCATTCAGGAAGGCGTTATGAACATCAAGTTGACGAAGCGTCCACCCCCAAGACAACGCCAAGGACAGCAACAACCGCACAGTGGTAGGTTTGATCACCGGGCTAAATGTATCGAAGAAGTGCTCCCCGGTTATATTAAAACCCTTAGAAACCAACATGGCCTTATACCACTCAACATACCCATTCGCCTTGTGCTTGGTGTGGAACACCCACTTGCAGCCGACCACGTTCATACCGGAACGAGCTGGAACCAACCTCCAAAGCATTAAACTCCTGGTACATAGCAACACGCCACTCGGGATGACATGCAACCTGTGTATAACAAGTCGGATCACTAGAATTGACAACCACCAAAGCTTGGAGCCGATCAACATGGTTCATATGCCGAAGAACCATTGGAATAGAACGAGGAGGCGGCAGACCAGCCTTAGCACGACGCTTGGTTGGACGTGTAGTACCAAAAAAATGGACCATGAGAGGGCGCAACAGGGGCCACCAGAGGCATATGACACGGCTCAGGAACCGAAGACTCCACATTAAGAACCACCGAGGGAATAGAAGGAGGAATCACCGAACCAGTACCCCAAAGCTCCAAACCACCAACATATTAACGCCTCTAACATTTAGATATCTTCATAGACATTTTATGTCAATTTTTCAAATCAAATAATATTATCGTGAAAAGAATTATTTTAAAGCAAATATTTCAAGTTTTATTGGATGCCCTTGAAGAGTATAGGAATTATAGAATGAAATTTAACACATTATAAGTACTTATAGATAGGATAAATACATATAGATCTCTTAATTTTCATGTACAAGATATAGATAGGATAACACTTATAGTTGGGTGTTGCATACACACCAATAGCATCAAGATAATAGCCAGCCCGCCCATAGAATCCAACTATCACACCTTCTTGCATCACAAAAGAGAAAGGGGTTCCATCTTGAGTACCCATAGCTCCATGTTCCCTCATATTGGTGTGGAATTTGAGCGATCGAATTACCAAATGATTTCCATAACCTCCATAAGTCCCACTAATGCCTGTCAAATACTCCATGGGACTGTTAATTTTCACCTGCACAACATATATTTTAAGCTAGTAAGTCGTTACAAATAATGTAAGCTAGTAAATCCCTTATTCCTTCTCCCAAACCCCAAGGGCCCCACCACACTCAGGCTCGACAGAATATTTGGAAGGATGTAAATCACAGTGACTCAATGGCTCAGCAGACTAAATCTCTTATTCTTGTTTGTCCATAAAGACATTCGCCTTATTTGGCAATTTATTATTAGTTAATGTGTGCAACAAAGCAGTTAGCCGGTAGCTAGTTTGACTAGTTAATAGTATTAGTTATTTGTGGATTTTTTTTATTTTTAAAAAATTAGCTGTTAATTCTAATCGATAATGAATTAAATAATTTGTTAGGACATTGATTTTATTTATAATCATCTCAAAAACTATTTACCAAAACTACCAAAATAAGTGAATTTAATATATACTCCATCTGTCCCATTTTATGTGTCAGGTTCGTTAACGAGATTTGACTAAAGTTATTTAAAATTTAATTTTTATAATATTAAGTTTAGAATTAATATGTAAAATTTATATATTTAGAAACTATATTAAATGTACTATTAAACAAAAATAAAAATAAAAATAATAAGACAATGCTAATAGACATAAACAAAGAACAAAGAACTGTTTTGACCAATGAATAATAAGTAAGACATATAAAATAGATTGTAGCTAAGTATATGATAACCTACCTCGGTGGTTTTACTCCCCCCACGGCCACCAAGTCTCTCCGAGAACTCTTCGTCTCTGCTCATGAAACTGATGGAGTCGACGATCCGTCCATGCGTAACAACTACAAGTTTTATTGGAGTTTTGGGTCGGTAACTCCACTCTCCTCCCCCACGACCTCCCCATTTTGCCACTTTTATTTCTCTTGGGGGGTCTATACTAGCCTTTGCCTCTACGCAATTCAAACACCAAACAATACATCAAGCACTTCATAAAATTAAAAGATGAGGCAACCCAATCAAATTAGTCAGGCTATTGACTTAGTAATCATAAGATAACAAGTTTGAATTCTAAAAAAGACGTATTAAAAAAACAAAAACAAAACAAAACAAAACAATTTGAAGACTAAATAACCTGGAACTTTCGAAAGATTTGAGGTTTGTTCGTCATGTGTGACTCCAAAAGTGACATAAATCTGCAGCCTTTCCCTCAGACTAGCAAGCTTGTTAATCATGTTCTCAATCTCCATCTTCTGAGCTAAGTTCTCAACCGACAAGCTGTGCTGCTCGCCTCCGATTTCAACATCGACGCCGTGATCATAAGCGGACAGCACTTTCTGAGCCCTGAGCGCGTACCGCTGGATGATCGCCGCCCAAACGCTCACCCTTGATCGTCCCTGCTTCGTTTCCTCGCCGTCTACGATGAAACACTTTATCCATGTCAGCTCCGCCACCAGCTCCTCCGCCTCTTCCTCCACTCCGTACGAGGAAATCCCTTGTTTCACCACCGGATCATCCAACTTCAGCAGGACTGAGGTAACGGCGGCGCTTGCTGCCTCCATATTTAGTATCTTACGTTACGTTTTTACTAAACAAGTTTTGATGGTATAGGCATTAAATAATATTATCTCGGTCTCATTTTACCTATCTGTTTATTTATTTTTTATTGGTTAAAGTATTAAATATCTCTTTCTTCTTTGTTTATTTTTTATTTTTTTATTTATTTATTTTTAAATTTAATTAATAATACTTTTATTATTATTAGGGTAATGGGTATCTCCAACCAAAAAGAAAGGGGAGGAGAAAGACGAGAAAAGTATTGGAGAGAAGAGGTATCTTTTGTTTTGTTTTTTGTTTTTTGTTTTTTCTAATTTTTTTTCTTTTATTTTAAAATTTTTATTTTAATTTATTTTTAAAAATTTTTAATTGCATTAATTGTTGGTAAATTTAGTATTTAATATTTTGTATTCACTTTCGAATGTTAAGTTGTTTCGTTAACGATTTCAACCGCGAATTTTAATTTATGAAATTATATTTTGATTAGTTTATGAAATTAATTTTATAATTCAAAAATTAATTTATTTCATTATTTAAATTTAGTTTTATTTAAAATAAAATTTATAATTATAATGTTTAAATTATTAATTATAGAAAAGTGAATAAAATAAGATGATGTGTATAAGTGTGAATGAGTAGGTCCTATAAAAAAATGGGAGAAAATGGGAGAATGATTGGAAAGAAAATAGGAGAGAAGATTATATGGTCAGGTGTAAGACTTGGGCCTACAAAATAGGAAGATAATGGAATAATCATTGTGGATGTCCTTACGGACTTGTATGATGTATCGATACATGGAAATCATGTCATTTTTGATTTTATTACTTGTTTATGTGGCAATATTTGATCTTTATATTTTTATTTTTTTTATTTTTTATATTTGATTAATAAATAGATTCAATTTTTAATATTGGGGTAGTTGGCCAATTCAACATAACCAATGAATAAACACACGTTGTTGTTTTTTGGAATAAGGGTCAAATAGGCCACTGAACTTGCATACTAGCAATTATGCCATTGAACTAAAAAAAAAAAAAAAAAAAAAAAGGTAAATTATATCATGCACCACAGTGCATGATCAATCATACACCGCGCGTCAGACACTACAGTGTGTCTAAATCGACACTGTCAAAACGACGTCGTTTTATTTAATGGAAAGAAACAGAATCTTCGTAAAAAATAACTCCGTTTTCATTTTGTATACATACACTGCAGTTTCAGTTCAACACAACTACAGTTTCATTTCGATATAACTACAGTTTCATTCAATATTTATACACTCAAATATGTGAAAATGTTATTTAATTTTATTTTATATACACTATAATTTCATTAAAACAAAACTACATGATCATTTCAATATAATTACAGCTTCATTGTACAATATACACTCAAATATGTGAAATGTTATTCAGTTTCATTTTATATATACTGTAGTTTCATTTCACCACAACTACAGTATCATTTTGATATAACTGTAGTTTCATTTGATAATATAAAAAATAATACGTGAGACAGTGTCGGTTTAGACACACTGTAGTGTCTGACGCGCGGTGCATGATATAACAACCGCTAAAAAAATTGCAATTGTGTCCCTGAACTACACAAATTCATGAAATTAGGTTTAAAATGACATGTTTACCTGATACTTTGCTGACGTGGAGGTTGCGAATTTTAAAAAATAATTTAAAAAAAAAAATTAATTTAAAAGAAAAAAATAAAAAAATAGAACGGCCGATCGTCTCCGGCCGTCCTTCGTCTCCATGGCTGGAGACGACCAGGAGACGAAGGATAGCCGGTCCGGCCGATCTGTTTTTTTTTTTTAATTAATTATTTGTTTAAAATTATTTTTAAAATTCGCAACCTACATGGCAGGTAAACAAGTCATTTTAGACCTAATTGCATGAATTTGTGTAGTTCATGGATCTAATTGTATCTTTTTTGAGTTCGATGACCTAATTGTAGTTTGGTGTGCAGTTCAGTGGCCTATTTGTCCCTTATTCCTTGTTTTTATTTTTTTATTTTTATTTTTTTTGGTATAAGCTAGAATACTGATACGATGTATCATGTATGAATGTACTTATGGGTATATGTAGTGTACGTAGCTGCCAATTCGCTTATTTATTAGTGACAAATTTTATAAGACTACATAATAGTGTTGTAGACAAGTAATTAAATTATATAATGTACTTTAATTATGATGTAAAAAGAAAAAAAGTGATCATTTTCCCTTTTATTTATTATTTACATGTGTGTATAAATATGCTAAGAACATGCAAACGAGATATATTTACCCGCTGCACACCTTTAGATAGTAACTACGAATTTTCTTATCATCCAAAAAAAAAAAAAAAAATCTAAAAATCAATTAAATGAATCAGGTTCTTTGCTTGCAAGGATGTTAAGTTTCTGGTCCGTAGCTTAATGCATTTTGTTGGCGTGCTTGTAGCTCAACGTTGTACCTTTGTCCTGTCTACTTTAATTTCTTCCCTCTTTTCATGTTCTTTGCGTTGTATTTGTGATCTTCTAGATTCCAATTGAAACAAGTTTCTATTGTCAATATAAAAATCACAAATATTTACTAGTACCATGTTTGGTATATCTTGGGAACGAGCCCAAAACTATATATTTGGGTTGATGCGTCAAGTGATTTGGAATGAAATTTGAGCAGATTTTAAGATGGTACTTTCTCCTCAATTAAATTTCGGAAAAAATATTTTCAAAGAATATGTTTAATACATGGAATAGTTTTACATAAAAAAAATTAATTAAAATATTTTGTGTTATCCTAAAAAGCATAACAATTAAATTACCTGAAAAATTAATTAACATGATTAATTCGTTTAAACTTTTGTAGAATTATTTATTTATTTTTTTATAATCTCTAATATATCCTTGCTATATAAAAGTATTTAAAAAACCTAACAAATAATCAAGATTTTAATAAATTACTTGTAAATTAATAAATCATATGTCAAAAAATCACCAAGTCATCAAATTAATTAAGTACCCAAAAATTAAACTCCAATTAATCAAGTTATATATATATATATATATATATATATATATATATATATATATATATATATATATATATATATATATATATATATATATATATATATATATATAGGGTCAGGTTCCTGTGAGAACAGGTCTTCTCGTGCGGTCAGTGCGGCATACACCATTAGGTATGCATAAATGCACCACACTGTGTTTGAAAATACACCATTATGTGTGATGTATTTTTTTGTGGTGCATTTTTTGGCATTTCATTTTGGTGTATTCTCAAACACTGTATGGTGCATTTTTGCATACCTAATGGTGTATGCCGCACTGATTGCACGGGAAGACCTATTCTCACAGGAACCAATATATATATATAGGGTTGAGTTCAAATGAGGACTGAAATATATAGAGGACTGTGCGGATCAATATTGGAGCACACAACAAATTAGTATCAGGCACACAACGTAATACACAATGGCACACAATATAATAATACATGTAAACATCAAGTTTCGAACACAGGCTCTATTAATTAACAAATTTGTACACGCGACATACAAACTGTGGCACACGACTACATCAAGCCATGCACACTACATATAGAGTAATGACACACGTCATATTAGTCCTCACAGTCCTTTATGTTTGTTCAATCCTCATTTGAACTCAAGTCTATATATATATATATATATATATATATATATATATATATATATAGAGAGAGAGAGAGAGGCGGGTTCAGGTGCGGCAGTGTCTTACGGTGCGATTATTTCTTACGGTGCGGCAACACCAATAGTTCACCAAATATGCACCATCAACGTTAGGAAATACACCACACAAAACAGAGTAAACAGAACCCTGCATTACCAAAAACACACCATTAGGTGTGAGTAAAAACACCATACACTGTTCGAAAATACACCATTGGGGGTGGTGAGTTATATTGTGTGTTTTTTTGAGTTTGTGGTGTATTTTGTGATGTTTTATTACATTTCATTGGGGTGTGTTTTTATTACATTGTTGGTGCATATTGTTAACACTGTTGGTGTATTCTGGAATTTGACCGCACCGCCGCACCGTAAGACCCCGCCGCATATGAGCGCTCTTATATATATATATATATATATATATATATATATATATATATATATATATATATATATATATATATATATATATAAACTTTCCTGACTACCAAATGTCCACTAAATGATTATGTATCTGGGTAAGTGTAATTAGATTTTTTTTTTTGTGACGAGTTTTAAGAATAATTTTATTTAGATTTTGATGATGCTACATCTCATGTGCCTTCTCCAACTTCGACCGAATATGTCTATCGATGTTTTTTGATGCCACAAGTGTGGGAGACCTATCGATATAAAATATAAGAATCTACGGATAACTATATCTAGTAAAGAAACTTAACTTTGTCACTTTTGAAATCTCTTACAACACGTTTGGTTTACGGAATGAATTTTGAGGCAATAGGAATGTTATTCCATAAGGAATAGAATAGAATATAAATTGTACTATATTGTTTGGTTCGCGAAAGGAATAGATTTTATGAATTATATTACAGTGTTTAGTTGGTTTAAGGAATAGAACAGAAATATTTTTTAAAAGTCATAAATACCCTTGAGAAAATATGTAATAATAATAATAATAATAATAATAATAATAATAATAATATATTCATATTCTAAGTATATAAAATTTATATCCACTAAACTATTTGTTAAAATCTAGTCTCATATAAATAAATAAATAAATAAATGTGTGTGTGTGTGTATTTATTTATATTTATATTTATATTTATATTTATATATAGAAAACAAAATCTAATAAATATAAAAAATTAAACACCATATACATCGACCATAGAATCAGATAAATATCTTGTGAAGGCTAAGAGTTTGAACCTGAAAGAGATGCAAGTATTGTACTGGTGATAAAGAAGTGTTGTACTGTGAAAAATAAGTCTAATCAAATTTTAGATTTATTTGGTGGTAAAATAGAAAATAGCAACGGACCTTAGGCTATTCCTGAGAACTCATGTATAAATAGCCTAATACCAGGGGGGAGGGAGATGGGGGGGGGGGGGGGGGGCTTGGAATCTCTATTCCCCTTGTAAGGGGAATAACTCGATCATTCCCGGGAACAATATTATACTCCTGGGGACTATAAGCATTACCAAACAACAAAATAGGCTTGTTCATGGGAATGTTATTCCATTCTATGCCTATTTTATGAACCAAACATGCCATTAAAGAATTATGTAATGAAGATATTCGTCTAGAATGCGAAAAACCCAATAAATTTATATATGCACCAAATAATCATACTACTGTGAATGTGGAATGACTAGATCTAAACATCTTTGGGAGAAATTTATAATACAAATATTATAGTTGTCGACAGCATAATTGCCTTTACAGTTGCTCTTGTTATATGACAATTTGGATCCAGAACTAGGCACCAGAAGTGCCATGACTATTTAGTATATAAAAGAGTAATTAAGGCATAACTATGCTCGCTAAAAATATATTTTCTCTTTATAACACGTACACCATTGAATATTAACGTTATAGATTACAAATGAGTGATTATACAAAAGAGAAATAAGAATAATAAGGTTGTGTAATATAAAGCGAGTTTTGTAGCCAAGGGTTCATCACGTAGAGACCCATAATTGATTTTAGTAAAATATCTTTTCCCACAATAGATGACATTAAGTTCCGCTACTTAACATCATTGGCAATAAATAATAAATTTAAATATGCAGTTGATAGATGTCATGACCGAATACTAATGGGTCATTAGACGCTAATATTTTTTTAGAAAAATCCCTGACGAATTTAAAGTTCTCGAAAATGAGAGGAGATGAAATCACAACATGTATATCATTGAATTACAAAGGTCTTTAAATGACTTGAAACGGTTAATGATCGAGTAATTATTTTTCCTCCTGAAGAAGGAATAGGTAAATAATGTGTCATTATATGCTCATTAAAGAGTTGCTAATTGAGTTATTTATTTATTATCTTAGTCTATGTTGATTGTATAAATACGATTGAAATGCATAAAGAACTTGATGATATTAGCTCATGCGTAAGTGTGAAATTTAAAATGAAAGATTTGGAGCGAACGGGGATTAGTTGGGTGGACATGACCGTTAAACAGACAGAGAAAGATCTGGACCACCTCGTGGTTTACACACAAAAAAAATGAAAGATTTGGGAAATCAAGTATTGTCTCGACCTGCAGGCCAGGTCGAGTATTTCCTTAAAGATTTTTTTTTTACACCAGTTAGCCTATCTTGAAAAATGCCGCATTTGACTTGTTTTATATGGGAAAGTATCATGTACTTATCATACTAACGGTTGTCCAGTCTCTTGAAGTAGATAAGGAACCGTTTAGACTCGAAAAGGATAATGAAGATACCTTATGACCAACATTACTTCATTGTTGTTGGAGCACCACTTTTTTAGGACTAAAAGTTCTATAATCGCAATAGGTCTGATTTGCGATTAAATTGCTAGCAACATTTAGTGTTCCCCCTACAATGACATATTGGAATAGTATGCATGTGTTCAACACATCCTTCGATATCTTCGAGTTTCAAAAGATTTTGGAATTTAATTATGCGATATACCTAGATATGGTTTTTGATAGGCTACTTGGGTACTGGCTATTTTGTTTGATTCCCATAATGCCAAGTCCCAAACTAGCTATTATCCTATATTTTACCCCTAATGTTCCATATGAGGACAGTAAATTAAAGTTCGTGTTGCACAAATGATAAATGCTTATGAATATTTGACAAAGTATATATAATGTTAAAATTCAACTCACATGAGCTCTAGAAGAGTCACAAGATTATTATACAGAATATTCACTATAGTGACAATCTAGCATATTATTCACAAAATCCCTTTCTACACTTATTTTTGGAAAAAAATTATTTTTATGCGTAGGATTTGAAGATTGTTATCTTCAGGGTGAGTGCCTTTTACTTGAATCAATTATGAAGATTGGGTCTTAAAGACCAACATTTATACTCTTTTTCTTTTGATATAATTTTCTTAATCAAAGAGTTTTTTTTTTTTTTTTTTTTTTTTTTTTTTTTTTTTTTTTTTTTTTAACGAGGCAGCTAGTGCACGCAACACATGAATGTGCACATATCATGTACTCGTTTTCTCTCTAAGTTTTACTCACTGGGTTTTTATAGTAATGTTTTTAATGAGACATGTGTATGATATAGTAATGTCTAATAGGGAGTGTTGTAAATAATTATATGTGTGGATATTACTAGAGATTGTTTCCAAAATGGCTAATAAATATAAACTTATACATCATTCAATCAATATAAACCTCTATTTCTAAATTCCAGCTAAAAATAATTAATATATTTACACTATAATATAATAATTATAATAAAATTTTTATTTTTATTTTTATTATTTATTTTCATACAAAATATTTGCTTTTGTAATAAATTTATTAAAATTTAATTTACAAATTTAATAAAAATTACTAAAGATGAGCTTACATATCAATCCCTATATATTTTGTTTCACATCCCTATACATAAAGTGGCTCGAGTAGTTATCAGCATAATTTTTTATTAAGCTAAAATGTCTTGACCATAACCCTAAAATTTTTCGGGCTTATTGAGTCAATACATTAATTTCGGGCTAAGATTGACATTCATACCTAAAAAACCTTATGGTTATCAAATCAATTAATAGTATGGTTAACTTGACTAGGTAAATTCAAACATTTTTTACAAGTGGTGTGGGGGGAGTTGTAGTTTAATTTCTTGTATGGTGGAATGAATTGCGTCAAATTTGTAGACAATATTATATATTCATTAACATGTCATACAAGTAATGCAAAGACTAATTAACGTTCTTTTAATTATATTTCAATATTCATTTTAGTTATACAATATAAGGGGTTTTTTTTTTTTTTTTTTTAAAAGATGAGAACATTTATAATAATAATATATTGCATGTTACTTTTATTTAGTTGACAATAATAGTGATATTACAAATGCTTGTGCTCTAGTATTTAAATATAAGAAAATGGAAAATGTAGTTTCATGTAGCCTATGGACACTATGCCAATAAGTCATTGGGCATGGTGGAAATAACATAAGAAAAGAATTGGAAAACCTAGTGATGACCGATTCCACCACCGCCTCCACCACCACCTCCACCACCGAATCCACCTCCACCTCCTGCTCCTCCACCAAATCCACCTCCAAAACCGCCGCCACTACCTCCTCCTATCCCACCTCCGATCCCACCGCCTTTCCCAAATCCTCCACCTACACCGCCACCTTTTCCGAATCCTCCACCTGCACCTCCACCAAATCCTCCACCTATACCTCCACCTGCACCGCCACCTGCACCACCTCCTCCACCAATTCCACCACCTTTTCCAAATCCTCCACCAATGCCACCACCTTTTCCAAATCCTCCACCTACACCACCTCCAACTCCACCACCTGCACCGCCACCTGCACCACCTCCTCCACCAATTCCACCACCTTTTCCAAATCCTCCCCCCGCACCTCCACCAATGCCACCACCTTTTCCAAATCCTCCACCTACACCACCTCCAACTCCACCACCATTTCCTCCTCCTACTCCTCCACCAATACCACCACCTTTTCCAATTCCTCCACCTGCACCACTACCAACTCCTCCCCCTACACCACCACCGTTCCCAACTCCACCTCCAATGCCTCCACCATTACCAATACCTCCGCCGATTCCTCCACCTTTTCCAATTCCACCACCAACTCCTCCCCCAACCCCACCACCTTTCCCAATTCCACCTCCAACTCCTCCTCCAATGCCTCCTCCTTTACCAATACCTCCACCGATTCCTCCACCTTTTCCAAATCCACCACCAACTCCTCCCCCAATACCACCACCTTTTCCAATTCCACCTCCAACTCCTCCTCCTTTACCAATACCTCCGCCGATTCCTCCACCTTTTCCAAATCCACCACCTACACCTCCACCTTTACCAATGCCTCCTCCAATTCCTCCACCCTTGCCAAATCCACCACCAACACCTCCACCTTTACCGATTCCTCCTCCAATTCCTCCACCCTTGCCAAATCCACCACCAACACCTCCACCATTACCGATTCCTCCTCCAATTCCCCCACCCTTGCCAAATCCACCACCAACACCTCCACCTTTACCGATGCCTCCCCCAATTCCTCCACCCTTACCAAATCCACCACCAACACCTCCACCTTTACGGATGCCTCCTCCAATTCCTCCACCTTTACCAATGCCTCCACCCTTGCCAAAACCACCACCTACACCGCCCCCAAATCCACCACCTTTACCAATACCCCCACCTATTCCACCCCCCTTTCCAAACCCTCCGCCAACACCACCTCCCCCACCATAACCGCCACCCCCTCCAAACCCTCCTCCCCCACCACCCGCTCCTCCACCAAATCCTCCGCCACCACCATACCCACCCCCAAATGCGCCGCTCTTACCAATCAACCCAAACTTCTCATCATCATCTTTCACATTTCTAGCAAAAACGACACTTCCCACAAAAACATGAAAACAAAGCAATGATAAAATACAAACCCTCACTCCTCCTGCCATTCTCAAGGAATGTTTTGAATTGCTTGCCCTACAAGCTTCAGGTTATTGCACTGACTAAAATGCTACAAAGCCAATGCCCTTTATATACTGCATATTCCACTGTTTCGTATTCAACTAGTAGACATATAGCATTAAATTCCCTCAACTGCTACCAGCTGCCTAGCCATATTAACGAAAGAAAAGCATTCCTCAATTATGACAACGTGTTTTCTTTAATGATACGTTGTTTTCTCAGTATACTACATACAGAAAACTTCCGTGATGAAAACATACATAGCCATTTGCTCTCACATGTCTATGTCGGATAAATGACTTAAAGCTCTGGGTTTTATGAGTTATCTGGTTGGCTGAAATCATTTCTCTTATGCAGAAAATTAGTTTTACAAATTTATTTCTCTAAAATTCTACATGGTAGTTTAGAAGAACGATTTCTTCAACTGTGCATTAAAGGCCATTATAACTTGTTTACCCATTTCTCCCTATTACAGCTATGTCGTACTTATATTATATATCCGTATCACTGTTGACTCAAAAGATGGATGTTCTTTACATTTAAATAAACATTCACAGCTCACTTTAGTGTAGTTTTTTTTTTCTTTTAAAAAATAATTTTCATCCCGAAAAAATCAATTACATTGAGGGCAAGGCCAGTTGGAAATTGAAGCAGTTGAGAACTACTTGCATGGAAATTGAAAAACTCCATGAAAGTTATCAATAATATTACTATTTAGTATTATAGCAGATCAATATGCATGATAGTATTTAATTAAGGAGGCTTATTATATTCACATTCTAATATGAATCATAAACTATTGATTATTTATCTTTTGTTTCTCAGTTATTCTGTTATGCATCTCTGTTCTCTATTTTTTACACTTTACTAGAAGAAGAGTCTTGTGATACAACATCAGGATGGTATCAAATCCCTCTTTACTCTTTATGGCAACATTATATTATATTGATAACGACATATATATGGTGATATATATGGGGTTATCAGTTCTCAACAAATTAAATCAACGTCCACGCATACATCATAAAGCCGACTGCGGGGAACTGATCTGATTTAGTTACGTTGCAGCCAATATTTAATTTTTGGTGGGAAAGTATTCTTTAATTATGCTGCTACAATTTAAAGCTAGGTGTGCATTAAGGCTGTGTTAGGAAACTAGGGAAATGACTTTAAAAATATTTTTTGAAAAATGAGTATTTTTTTTAGAAAGTATTTTTCTTTCTAATGTTTGGTTGTATTCTAAAAATTATCTTGTGTGTTTGGTTCATTTTTCAGAAAATGAGTAGAATTGTATAATTAAACATTGGGAAAATTGCATTTTTCATCCCTAAGTTATAGGCTAATTGTAAAATTCGTCCCTAAGTGTTGGTCATACTCACTTTCCATCCCTAAGTTATCATTGATGTTGCATTTTTCGTCCTTTTACTAATAAAACATTATAGCATCCGCATTAGTTGGAGAGAATGTAAGAGTGATTAGGAAAGAGAACGTGAGAGGGGAGAGAAAAAAAGAAGAGAAAACTGATTTTTTTTAAAATAATAATAATAATTTAAATACTGCGTTAGGCGCGCTGTCAGCGCGCCTGACGCGCCACACAGGCGCGTGCAGTGCACGTGCACAGCTTTTGTTGTGTTTTCTTTTTCCTTTCTTTTCTGACATTATTTTTCCATTGCAGGCCAAATCTTTCCCAATTATTTCTTTCCCACATCAACTATTAATTTTGCTTGAGAGACTTAATGTAAGAAATAACTACACATTCTCTCCTAATGTGGACGCTCTTAAGGACGAAATTTGCAATTTTAGTATAACTCAGGGACGAAAAGTGAGCACGAAATGACGAAATGTGCAACGCCAATGATAACTTAGGGGCAAAAGGTGAGTATGACTAACAGTCAGGGACGAATTCTACAATTATCCCCTAACTTAGGGACGAAAAGTGTAATTTTCCCTTAAAGATTTTAATTTTTTTTTAGATATAACAATATTTATAATAACAATTTTCAGTATAATCAACAAATTACTAATAAAATATCAAAATAACTAACCAATGTATTGCAATTGAAAGTAACAAACCAAAATAACCAAGTGAAAATCGCAAGATATGACGACCGGGAAGAGCTCAAGAAAATGTCGGAATCAAGCTCATCCATGGCCGGAACTCTTGCATTCTCCGAGTTGAATGCTCAACGTCATCTGGTGCCTCTGGTTTCCGCTTCAGAAATCAGAGATGTGGTTTTTGAAGCAAAAACCAGTCTGACCGACTGGTTTACGATGCGGAAACCAATGAAGAAGTTTCCGATTGTGGGTGTTCGTTCCCATAGCCGGAAACCATTTCTGATGGCTGAGATTCGCTAGGTCCACCATTGAAGGAAAAAATTCAAAACTAGGAATTTTGTCCTACTAACAGACTGCGTGGTGCTAAAGAATGCGATACACTCAGAAGCTACAGCAATTTTGTCCTACGTTGGGGTCGTTGTGGACCAATATAGGATAGCTATGTCTTTATTTACTTATTGCTCTTTGAGTTTTGTTACCAGGACACTTAATTTACATGCTCATACACTAGCTTTATTAGCTTACGATCAGGATCAGACTATGTATTGGGAGTTGGGACTCGATCCCTCATGACTCTATCGTTTCATTCATGAGTTAATAAATGGTTACGGTTATTTTCAAAAAAAAAAAAAATACCTTGTAATTTTAGTTGACAAAAGATCACAAAAAAAAAGTAAATCAGTTTAAATTTTTTATAGATGGTCCATTTAAACCAAGAAAGGTAAAAGAAATCACGTGAAAAATCAAATATAAAACCTTATCATTAGCAAGCTAACACACCAATAAAAAATAGAGAAAGGGATACATATACACATACATAAAAGAATCATAATAGTTGCTCTATAAGGGGATACATATACACATACATAAAAGAATCATAATAGTTGCTCTATAAGATATATTATTCTAGTCTTAATTTATATACTATAATTTATTCTCTGACACCGCCATCCACTATAACCACACATATCTACCCTTCACTATACTGTTGGGAGCTTGTATGCGATGAACCATGGTGTTAAAAGATGGATCATTGATATAAGATTTATTATTATTATACTGAATGTTTATTTTTAAAATATTAAATGTTTATTTTTAAAATATTTATTTGTTGTGTACGTACTTAATGTTCACTTTTTAGATATATTTATAAAAAATTAATTTTCAATATATTGAAATGATCCATAGTATAATTGCATATCCCTTAATAATTTACTTCATTGATCAGTCTCCAAGTTAAGATAAAAATAATGAGGGATCCTTAAAGGTGTGTTTGGAAACTAAGAAAATGTTTTCTGAAAAATGAGTCATTTTATAGAAAATATCTTTTTTTTTTCAGTGTTTGGTTGCATTCTGGAAAACTGTGTTGATAATGTGTTTGGTTCATTTTCTGAAAAATGAGTAGAATTGTATAATTAAACATTTTAATTATTTTATTGAAAATATAAATATTTATAATAACATTCAAAATAATATTATTTATTAACAAAATTTTTTAATTTTTTTTTTAAAAAACCTCTAGTTTTCAACGGAAACTAGAGTAATGGCTGGTCTCCGCCAGAAACCAGAGTAGTGCTCTGGTTTCCGGTGGAAACCAGACTAAGGTTGTGCTCGTCGATGTAGGAAACCAAACAAGGCTATGCTCGTCGATGCAGCTATGGTCTGTGGAAAATGATTTCCGCCAAATTTTAGCGGAAGTCGTCACTTTTTTTTCAGAAACAACATTATTTTTTTTTGTCTGGAAAATAATTTTCGTTGACTTTAATTTTACATGCTCTTCTAAACACTGAGAAATTATTTTTTGGATGTTCAAACGCAACCTAAGTTTGAGAGTCAAACTTATATCTACCCTACAGAATTGAGATGTACCATAAATAGAAACAAAAAAAGTGAAATTAAGATCTAACTGTATTTACCTAGTGGTTCTTCAAAGTTTGAATTGCAGCCACATTAAAAGTAGCATATATCCTCCATGGTTTTTTGTACCAAACTCCCGAGTTGTCACTTGTCACATGCAAACACTGTACGACGTATGACTTTAATAGGTGAATATGTGAATAAAGCAATCTTGGCAATAAATAGAGGTTCGTATGCTGGTGTGTAACACTGTAAGTTTATAAAACAGGAATGCATTATCCCATCTTTATTGGGGCGTGGACCAAATGCATGATAGATTGGGAAATCGTAGCTATCATGCAACCCAAATTATTGCATTAGTTACCTATCAATCGAAAGCTGGTGCCTTGTAGTGTTGGGACAAATTATTATTATTATTATTATTATTATTATTATTATTATTATTATTATTATTATTATTATTATTATTATTATTATGGTACATAGTTAGAAAAAATAGTAATTTATTCTCTAAATTATACTTAGACTTGTAAAAATTGTAGACGTAGATTACTAGCAATATATATTTAACCTCTAAGTTATAGGCACGTTTATTTTTTATTCTTGAGTTATAGGTGTGAAATGTCATTTTTGTTCTTTTCTTGGGTGTATACAGGGTTTCTACTGTCGGGCACAATGATTAATCCCCTTGTTAAACTGTATGCACCTCTTTTGGATGTGACAGTTGGTCTGGAGCCATTTTTGTTCTGCTAAATTTTTGTTAGTTTGTTACAGAAATTCAATAAAACTTCTAATAAGGCAATAATATATTTG